TCAAATCTTAGACATCGAAGAACTAGCAAAAATCTGTCAGGAGTCCGAAATACTTAGGAGACTGAACGGAAAATTATATTTTTCCCTTATCTCATCCTGTGTTTTTTTTTTCTCTCTTGGATTAGTTGTTTGTTTTCAATTGTGCCTCTACGATGATGGATGTATCTTTTCTCATTTTTCTGTCTTCCTTTTGGCTGGCTTTGGCTGAATTCCTAATTTGTACTATAATTTTTTTCTCTTAGGTAAAAACGACAACCAGTATGTCCTCTGGATGGTTGTAGGGGCAGTTTTATCGTTGCTGTTTGTTATCCTAATTGCCGCTGTCATTGTCATTCTGTATAACAGGTGAGCATTGCGCCTCCTTCTGAATCTTGTTTACCCTGAGCGATTCCGATGTTCGAGGATCTCTACAATTAATCACCCAGCATTGGCCAAGCTGTCTTAGCACTCACATATGTTTTTTTGAGTGCTTTTCTTACACAAAGGAGAGGAAAGAATTGTGGTAATAGTGGAGGAAAAGGGGAGAGTCATTCACTTAATAATTAGTAGGAGCTGGCTGTCTGCCCCATATTTACAAAGCTTTAATATGCCTATTGCCTCCTCTCTGTCTCCTACTTCATTGATCTTCCTTCTCCTTTAGGAAAAAAAAGCTGTTGGGTGAGGGGTGGTGTGTGTGTGTGTGTGTGTGTGTGTGTGTGTGTGTGTGTGTGTGTGAGAGAGAGAGAGAGAGAGAGGAGGACTGTATCAAACAATAATAAAACCTTCACTTATTCATCAGCTATTTCTTTTGGCAGTAGTGAACGAGATGTGATGAAGCACATATTCTAATAAGCAAACAACATTATTTTAATGGCTGTCTATTCTCTGAAAGAAACAATTTAGTTGTTCTTATTAAAAATTATCAAGGAAGAAAGAGGTTGGGAGGGGCGATCTTAGAGAGAGCAGGTGGCCACTGGCCTCTTAGTGTCCTACCTTTCATGTCCATGGCACACTTGGAAGTTTCTAGGATATTCGTGATGGACCCTTTCTTCCCTTCCTAGCTCTCCATATTCACCCACTCACATGCCTAAGTGTCTGTTGCAGTCTTAGCTGTGATCACACAGGGGTGGATATGCTGTGTTCCAACTAAGGTTACCTTCCTAAGGGAGGAGGACACCAAGCATTTGATGTCTACATTTGGCATGTCTAGCACAGCATTGAAAGACACTTTATACATGTTTATTGGATGGATGAATCCATCCATTCCCCATTCTTCTCTCCCCAGAATATTGCCACAGATGCATGGCAATATTACACACACATGCACGGCTTATTGATTGGATTTCCAGAGGATTTCTCTGTCTCATCTCCATCTCTCTCTCCTGCCCCCACCTTTTTGAAAGCTCTTATCACCACTGCCCTGATTTTATTCACACTCTGCATTCTGCTCACAACATCTCCTCTCTTCCTAATGCCCCTGGGTTTTCCTCATTCCTTTCCTGAAAGCTAAGGCTCGCCATGTCAACATCCTGTTTAAAACCTCCTGTTACCAATCCCCTGTCACTAGAATAAAGGCAAAACTCAATGAGCCCTGTCGTTCTGACCCCAGCCTAATTTCCATTAATATTTTCTCCTTTTCTTATTCCCCCCAGTATTGACAAATTTTGTTAAAACTGCAACTTTTCTGTGAACACACTTGGCTCTCTTTCCATTGTCATGCCACCAAAGTGCTGTTTCCTCTACTTTTAGCCTTAATCCTGTGGACCATTCAAGGTGTGGGACACCTGTCCCTGTTGGAGGTCTGTCCTGCCTCTCCCTCTCTGCCCAGAGACGTGGCCTGACTCTCCAGAATCCCATGTGCTTCTCATCTGCTATACCTTGCAGCCTGCTTGCTAATTTAATCACATTCACACTTGTCTTTCCCTCTATTCATGATGGCAGTGGTTATGTTTTATTCATTTTTTAGTTTGATAGCATTTAGTGCTAATCTTTCCAAATAATGGATGGTCAATAAGCATTTGTCTAATTAAATTGAAACGCAGAACTGTCATTTTTCCTTTCTCTCTGTCACCCCGATGCCCTCAAAGCTTCCTCTGGTCAGAAATCAGCCAGTTGGGGAAAGGAGCCCGGGATAGGATGTTAGTGACATTGAGGATTCTCTACTGCTCCACGTTGGTGGATAAAAAATGCACCGAGGGGAACTGTGGCCGCAGAAACACTCGGGGGCCCAGACAGAATGAGTGACAGCAGGTCTCTGGAGGGTCCTAGATACTGGATATGAAGGATTGAGTTTCATGAAAATGCATCACTTTTACAGGAATAGCTAAATTGAACCGTAGACTATATTGTCCCCCCTTGGTTCAAAGTGATACAAAGATTCCTGGACTGGGTTCATCATTGGGTGAACGCAAAGGGAAAAGCACTTCTTTTCCCACCTTGTCACTATATCAGCGTGGACATGTTTGAAAAAATGACGCCAGGGCCAAACAGTGACCATCGAACTCTGTCCTCACGACTGTTTAAAACACTCTTTTCGTTTCAAATGTATTGACTTGGATAGAAGGCAAAGTAATCACAGTGTGCCTGGAGGAAACCGGGCTCTTCCTGCACACCCAGCCCCTAGGGACGGGAGTGCAGAGGCTCTCCAAGCACTTTCTCTGCTTCCAGTTAGATCAGAATAGTAACACTGTCAAGCGATCATGGCTGGCAGAATGGCCTAGCCCCGGTAAGCAAGCGTGACAGTCTACATGTGGACACCAGTGTTCATAAGAATTTTAATATTTAATGAGCAAAGGGTTAGACACTTATTTTTACATTTATTGTCAACATTGATGTTCACTACAAGTAGGGTGTCTAGTCTGCCTGGGATTCTCCAGGTTTCAGCACTAAAATCCCTCACCTCTGGGAAACTTTAGAATCCACAAACCAGAATGGCTGGTCAACCTAGAATACACCACAGTGTGTTTACTGTCTTTATTTTGCAGATGAGAGGATTGAACTTTGGAGATGCAAATAACTAGTAAATTGCAAAGCACAAGTCAACACAGATCATCTTGTCTTCTTTTCATCACATTGTATATTCTAGTTTTATGTAAGAAATGTATATATATTTGGCCCTATTTGGGACATTTACCTCTATATTATGATATACAAGCCTTGCAAACCATGACTTAACAAAAGATCAAAAGTCATAGATCAGTGTCTCAGTTTCCTCATTTGTAAAAAGCAGATAGTAACACCTACAGCATAGATTTTTTGGAGCAGTAAATAATTTACATAAAATTCCTAGAAATA